CCCACTGCACAGACAATTGGAGAATGAAAATGGAAAACAGTTCAGGGAATTTTGTGCAGGATCGAATCTAAGTATTGCCACCACGTACCACGACATCGGACCAACCTACTATGCAGCCAACGGTGGGACAAGTGTCATAGACCATATTGCACTCCCAGTAGGAGCCTTGAAGTTAGTAGAGAGATGTGTAGCGCTGAGGACATCAGCAAAACGACTCCAGCTCATCAAGCGTCGAGGCCACCGTGACCATATCCCTGTGGGAATTGCGCTGCCCATCAATAGCAAGAACAGCTTTGCATCAGTAAGGAAGGAGAAGTCACCCTTGTTAGACAGAGGCCAACTCATGGAATGTCTTCGGAGAGGAAAAAGAAGGCCAGAGTTTTTCGTATTCCTGGAAAATGAAATGCAGAAGAGGAGTCGAAGATGGGAGGAGGTGAAGGAGGAGAGCACACCCGACGGCATGTGGGAGGTCTGGGGGGAGGCGGCCAGGCAGGCCTTAGACACCTGCTTCAGACAGGGCAAGGCCGACTGCGACGATGTCATCGATCAAGTACGGGCCAGGCGCATGTCACTGCTAGCCGAACGACGGGAGCTGCGAGAGAAGATGGTGGACAGTGGAAGGGGAGGAGGCTCTTGTGCAGACACAGCAGGAACTGTCGGAGATGTCAGCCCTCTTGAAGAAACTGCGAGTGGATGCGGGAGAGCAGAGACGAGCGCGCCTCGTGCAGGAAATGTGGGAAGCTCATCAAAGAAACGATTTCAGTACCATGCACCGACTGCGCAAACAGTACAAAAAAAACGCAGAGGGCCAAAAAAGAGGTATTATGCAGCGGCACGGACGCATTGGCCAAAAAGCGAGTGGGTGAAAGAACTAGGAAAACAGCCATGTGAAGGGGGACTGGGGGCCAGAGAGATTGACTTGACAGAATATGTGCAGGAACAACAGCAAAGACTCAATGACCAAACGCCGTTGCCAGAGGATTTGGAGCTCACGGGTCTAGTCCTCGCGGACAAGCGCTGGATGTTGAAGTATTGCAAACGAGCTGCCAAACGTCGAGCTTGGCCGAAGTGGGGGATCCCAGTAGAACTCACGTGGATGATACTAGACCCCACCACCCACCTCGAGCACCCAGAGCTGTTAAGTAGGCAGATTGAAGAAAGGAGGATCAGGGCGGCGGAAAAGAGGAAGGATGAGGAAGACTTGAGCAAATACACATCACTGCATAAATACCGAGTGGGCAGACGGATTTTGGAACGCATGGGATGGAAGAGTGGGGCGAAGTTAGGCAGATCGGAAGAACCACTGGACGGCGCAGAATTGATGCACAACGAGGTTACCCCATATTACGTGGACCGACCTGCCCAAGCGGGCCTGGGTACGATGACAGTGAGAAGACAGGTGGAGGAGAGAGACTTTCTATTCCAGCGTTGTTTGGACCAGTTACTTACGAAGATACGGAGTACACAGGTGACACCACTATCCTGGCATAGATCCATTTCTTTCGACGCGGACAAGAACAATGGCAAATAAGGAATAGGAGGAAAAAGAATCATGCGCGCGTGCGACTCCATGAGCATGGCGCGGCACTGGGGGATACACAGAAGGGGCCCTCAGCCAGACCACCCCCCATGGGCTCAAGGAGGCCTCGCACGCAGAAGTAGAGAAAATGCGATACTGCGCTTACAAGCTACACAATGGAGGGCGGGAGAGGCGGGCATGAGCATTGTGCACACTAATTACGATTGCAGCAACGCGTTTGCCAGCACGAAAAGAGGACTCTTGGAGGCGACGGCATGGAGGTACGCGACAGAAGCGGATCAGCCTTTTGCCATAGGAGCAATTTGCAACACTCAGCTGAGCATGCGGTGTGCCGACGATTGGTTGCACGTGGAAACGACGGAGGGGGCTCAGATGGGGTTTACACTGTGTCCAAGACAATTCAATGATGTGTATAATTTGTACGTGGAACAATGGAGACAGGGGGAGAGGAGTAGGGACATTCACCAGACCTGGTACGACACGCACAACCCAGTGACAGGACACATACACGACCTGGCATTGAACATTTTCATGGACGACATAACCAGGACACACACGATACTTGAGGGAGCCAGAGCAGAAGAGGTCACAAAGCAGCTGAACGACGCAACCGAGCGGCTAGAAACCATGATCGGGCGCGGAGGTTGGAAGCTCAACCAGGGGAAGACAAATCACCTCCTCTGCTTGAAGGGTCCACAGAGCTACAGCGCTACCCGACAGTTGAGACGATCGAACAGGCTGAAAGGAGAAGCGTTGAGAGAGATGCGGGTGATAGGACCATTCTTACCATCGGACCAGGGACTCGGAGGAGAGATTCAAAAGAGAATCAAGGCCATACATGTTGCGTGGAGACAATGCGGCAGCTTTTGGAGCTCGGACACGCCAGCAGTTATTAAGAGGACGATGTTCGTTGCGTTTGTCCTCGGTGCAGGGTTGAGCGGCCTCGCTGCTTTTGTCTTG